ACTAGATCACCATAGAAAATCAGGAAGCACTGAACGACCTTCTGTGAGATAGTTTTGAGATAGTAACTCACTGAAGACAATGGTGAATGTGTCACTCAATTTCGTGGATTTGTTTAAGTTAAACATTAACACCGTTGGATGCTGGTCGGTCTTCAGATTCAGTGGTCTAGAGGATAAGCATTCCTGTGTGAGACTGATAGGTTCTGAGTTCGAATCTGGCGAGGTGGGATCATGGATACGCACTGTTCAGGAGTCTTTTATTGGGACGAAACGGCCATCCAGTGCTTCCAGGTTTTACATGGTGGTGTAGCTTCGATTGACTCATGAATTCAAGTTCATGAAGCTCATTAATTATTAAAAAAACAGTTTTAGAGGTTTATTTTAATAAGAAGGTAGGACTTTTCAGTACTCCCACAAAATATACATATCCAATGGTATATCAGTTAGTAGTTAAGATAATGCAAAGCGAAATCAGAAATTATGTAATTAACTTAACAATGATATCAATGCATCATTATCTATCTGTCTGTAAATTTCATTGTAGGTGACTGAACTGAATATTTTCAAGTGTATCTTAGATGAACTGTCTTTAGTAGAAAACATGTATACGATTGACTGATCATTGTATAGTGTAACCTATGCAATATTTACTCCGTATTATATTACTTGAGTAAATTCTATTGATCATACTGTGATTCGTCCACTAATTGTCGTGACTCTAAACATCCAACATCTTAGTATAGTAACCTAAAGTTAACTGACTCATACTAGTTCGCTCATGCAATTTCATTTTAAGAATTTGATTATCATTGAAGGACAACTCAAACATGATAATAATCACTACTCAGTAACCAGTTAATAAATAACATCTCAATTGTATAAAATGTCAAACGCTGCCAAACTAACTCAATGGTAACGTTTTAGACTAAGATTGAAATTAGTCTACGATGACGAGTTCAAATTAGCGTGAAACCTAAGTCATCAGTTTCTTACTGACTATCTCCATTCACTTAACAGAACGTAGATATATACATATTCCCTGTACACACATCTAACTATTCAAACTCAAAGCATATTATTTCGTTTGTTTTATGTTATTACAACAAACATTGTACTTCATTCAATAGTATATCATTATATATATAAAGATAAACACCCTTTTCTTTAATCAATTCGATGCAGATCCTCTATTTTATAAGAAATTTCGTCTAAATTTAATTGAATAGTTTTAAAGTATTTGGGCACCGAGTTGATGTGAGACTGTGAGAATGTTTTATTTGTGAAAGTTTCAACGAATGAATTTGAAGTAAATCCAACTTTTCACCTAACAATCTGGTCCAAGCTTTTTTTTCAAGGAAATTTAATCAAACATCAACATTATCGAATATAAATAAGGTAAATGGTTCTCTGAACACAGTGAATCCGATGCAGATGTAAAGGCACGGATCGAGAAAGCAAGAGTAGCATATTTACAATTGAAGAACATATGGAACAACTGTCAAACAATATCAAAGTCAGAAGTTTCAATACAAATGTCAAAACAGTTCTACTGTATAGGGCGGAAACATAGAGAACTACGAAAGCCATCATTCAGAAAATACAAGTGCTTGTTAACAGTTGCTGACGCAAAATACTTCGGATTCGTTGGCCAGACACTATCAGCAACAATTTATTATGGAAGAGAACAAACCAGATCCTAGCGGAGGAAGAAATCAAGAAGGAGCGCTGGAAGTGGATAGGACACACATTGAGGAAACCAGAGAACTGCGCCACTAGGCAAGCCCTCACACGGAATCCTGAAAGCCAAAGAAAAAAAGGAAGATCAAAGAACACATTACACCAGAAATGGAGACAGACAGACATGAGAAGAATAAAGAACAATTGAATAGAACTAGAAATGAAGGTCCAGAACAGGGTGTGTTGTAAAATGGTAGTCGGCGGTCTATGTTCCATTGAGAATAGCAGGAGTAAGTAAGTAAATGATTCTCCGGTTCACTGTATACAAAATAGGTCATCCAATCATTGTTAACAATGTTTAAATTAGGTATACAACAGATATATGTTGTGAAACGAAAAATTTTAAGATAACCTATTGAGTATATAATAATTCAGAGAACCATGTACCTAATTTTGATATTTGATTTCGTATTTCCTTGAAGAAAGCTTGGATTAGATTGTCAGGTGAAATAGTTGAATTGACTTCAAATTCATTCGTTGAAACTTTCATAAATACAACATTCTTCTTCTGTGTTTTCTTTTTCTATCCTCTATTTTAATCCTCCAATTCATTTAAAATAATCTAACAGTATCATTCATCTATACTATTGATAGAGTGTTAACCATCTGTTTAATAAAATAACCAAATGTTATGTACCTTGTGTTCATTTTAAGAATAAAAGAAAATAATCACGTATTCTATGAATAAGAAATCTGAGGAATTCCCAAACACACACACACACTCTGTGTATATGTGTGTGTGTGAGAGAGAGAGAGTGGAACAGATATGTATGTTATCATGTTGTTGTTGCTTACTTACTTATCAACTTAAATGAAAGATAATACTTTGAAAAATATAAAAAAAATGATAAAAATAAATTCCCGAGGAATTCTTTTCACCATTTTTTCTTTCATTTCCCTTTCTTCTTTAGGGAAACAATTTATTTTCCAATAAGTTATCACTAACATATATACATACATACGTACATACCCATACCCATACACACACACACACACAGAAACATAAACTTGGCAACAATTGTATCTAACTTATCTTGGTTAATAGAGTTTTAAAAAAAAAGAATAAATGGAATAGATTAGAATAACATTCATAAATAATAATGAAACGATGGATATTGAGAAATTACATCATGTCAAATGAATTTATCACTTTGATTTCATTGTATATCATATTGATTTATATGACGACTAAGTTATGTTTTTCTTTTTCTTTTCTTTTTTTTTCTAAACTGTTTTGTTTCATTCAAATGATGATTATGTTCATACGATATCAAGTGGGTTGTTTTTATCTCTCTCTCTCTCACACACACACACACTCTTTCTTGTTTCAGTAGTAAAGTGGGTTAATTTAGAAAAAAAGCAAACAAACAAGTAGGTAAATGTAAAATAAATCAATTTATTTTATATAGATTTGGTATATTGTAACAAAGTATCTAGAAATTAACAATTAAACACTCTCAATAGTGCGCATACATAATTCCGCTTCAAGAAGTTTGAATCAAGGTTCTATCAGTCATGCATATGAACACTTAATCTCTAGAACACTGAGCCGTCCGGTCGATCGGCATCCAACGGTGTCAATGTTTAACTTCAACTAATCCACGAAATTCAGTGACACATCTACCATTGTCTTCACTGAGTTACTATCTCACAACTGACCCAGTTGAACTCCATTGATCACTGCATCCTACTAGAACTCCAGGATATACCTCTTGAAGTCAGTCACTAATGAGCATTTGTTTATTCATATCAGAAGGTATTTTGTGGACATTATAGTAATTTCAACGGTTGAAATCATGAGTCCGTCGAAGCTAGACCATCATCTTAGATGCGTACTACTGAGAATTTCCATACTAGGATGAAACAACCGTCTAATACTTCCAGGTTTTTCATGGTAGTCTAGCTTTAAATGAATCATGATCTGAACCATTAAAATTGCTATAATATCCACAAAAACCCTTCTCGTATGAAACAGACAATCATCTAATTATGTACATATTGATGAGAAATTTACTTTCGTAGGTAACTTCGATATATTCAACAAATATTATCCTATCAACTCCTATATTTTACATTGATTAACTACGTTGAGATGGGGGTAGTAAAAGTGAAAAGGTGGTCAGTATATATGAGAATGCATCGAGGCTTGAAGTAAAACTATATAGCATTGATATCTAATAGAGCATCACAAATCCTCCATCGTGGTTCTAGAGATGATTCAACTCAAGAGCTTGAAACACTGCTGAAAATGTCTCACAACAACGGTCACTTATAATTCAGCTTTAGTGTTGTTGCTTTTTTACATTCATAGAAGTGACAGCAATCTCTTTCACTAAAAGAAGTCTCTCGTAGTTTTATTTCGTTATATAATAATTCTGTTTACATATTTATCTCTTTTCTTTTGGTTATTTTCCCTTCTCCTCTTCTATTTCTTTGTAATGTTGTCTATCTCTCTATTTGTATGGCGTATACTATTTCCGTTCTTGGATGCATCAGTAAAATTAATAACTGTATCTATTTGTTATTGACTGACTTAAGTCTAATTACTACCGAGAACTATGGAGCACTAAACATCTGTTTTATGTCCTATCATAGAGAATGATCAAGCCTAAGACCGACCATTTTGGTTAATAGCTAATAAACTATTGTTCAGATTATTATTTATTTACTCTGAAGAAGTGAACTTAATTAAGTCACGAAACGTCAGAAATTCAAAATTCTAGCGATGATACCAACAAACTTACTAGACCATTGGGTCATGTTTTCGTTGTATCAGTTTGCAGTTTAAAAACTGTTCTATAATACCTTGAACATATGGGTGTATTGATATTGTAACCTGCGATACTTGTGTATCGATTCAATCTATAACACTTCATATGAATACAACAAAGTAAGAAAATTACTAAGGCAAGAGAGCTAGAAATGATACAGAATCATGGCGAATCAATGAATGCACCACAATCATCGATTTCGCACCATGTCATTCAACTTTTCTAATCAATAATTGTAAATATGATCTAGGTAACTATCAATCAAAAACATATCTAATCAGCTCATCATTACCTGATAATAAATGATATCGTATTCTGTTGAATCTATGGATCTTACGCTTGGAATATGTTGTGGTTCTGAGCCATATCAATGATTAATTAATGGACTACTGAGATTTCAACGAATTGTTATTCACCTTAAAGTAAACACCACTTTTTCATATCATTTACGCTTGTTCATTTTCATCTTTCGTTATCTTTTTATCCCTCTAGTTTATTCACGAAAACGTCGTAATGTTTTAACAAAAACTCAAGAAGATGAAATAAATATGGAGAAATCTCTCATTGATAATGGAAACGAATCATTTTCAGAGGAATCTGTTGAAGCAATACAGTCGTCGTCATCATCATCAACTCCGAAAATTCCTGTTATACAATTTCGACGATTACAAAAAGAGGTAAGGACATTATTAAATTGCCATTGATTATGATGATTCAGTCACGTGGGTAAGTTTACTATAGGAAACGGAGGTTGATTATGAATACAGCGGTCTTGAGTGCTGTTAGAGGTATGAGGGAAGTTATCACTTCCCGGTTGCCCACACCGTGGAAGGGTTGTTCTGGAGGCACCTGAAAAGGAAATTGGATTAGAAGTGGTCTTAGTGACCTGAGAGCGTGACCGCAGTGCCCAAGGGAAAACTGCTTGAGGTCGGTCACACACGACCCTTCTTTGAGTAATTTTCGTGTTAGCTCCTTACTTGCTGAGACCTTACCGCCGGAGACGGATATATGTGGGATAAGGCGATGAATGCATTTTTATGGTCGATCTTTTCTATCCCCATCCTTCCTTGTAAGAAAGCAGCATCTCTATTACGCTGGTTGTCTGAAGGAAAGACCTTACTGCTCTCACACCTTTGTACAGTCAGCAGTACGACTTCACCTTCGGACCTTGGGTTTGTTGCTTTTAGTCTTACCCCTCTTCAACCGAACTGTCTGACATGGTAAGACCTTGAGGAACGGTTGTTCCAACCAGTATAGCTCGGTCGCTACATCACGATAGGCAAGCCCGACCACCACGTCAAGGTAGCAACAACGGTCTGGAAGTTTACTATTTACACTCATAGACTAATCAACTGGCCCATGTAAGCGAACTTATACTTCTTCGTTAGTGTTATATCTAGAACTTATATTCTTGATATACTGCGTCTAACTTGAGAACTAGTGTTAAATGCTACTATTGATTCGTCTTACTCGGAACGGAACGAAGAATAGTACAGTACAATACATTAGACAATTATCTTGGTGTGAGATGTATGATTTTGATAGTGTTATTTAAAATACCTGACAATCAGTTCATCAATCTTTACTAATGAGAACATCAATACTTATGTATTCAATCAAATACATATATAAGTTTCGCGTTAATTGGTTCTCGGTGGTGAACGATATCTCCAATGCTGAGAGGGAAAAGATTAGCTATAGGGTTCATCTAGTGATATATTTACAAATACAATCATTAAGATATTTGGGTTACAGTTATAGTTTTGTGGAGTTGTGTTGTAACTAATGTTCTATTTTTCGGGTTTATATCTCATAGAATAGCGTCAGTTTCTTCAACTTTGCAGATGTACTTAGTCAACTGGCATGTAACTTATATCTAGAGTTTGTCGGTGGTTACTATCAAACAATGTTCTATCTTATTAATTTAATTAAACAGTGAGAAAGTTTTATAGTTTTACTAAATAATAATAATTCTTTTTGTCTAAAAAAGAAAAAAATACCTATTTCGAATATCGCTAGACGGAATAGTAGATACTTACTGCTAACGAGTCCCACACTGGGACAAAACAACCATCCAGTGCTTCAAGGTTTTCATGGTGATCTAGCTGCCATTTATTCATGATTTCAACCGTTGAAATTACTATAATATCCACAAAATCTCTTCTGATATGAATAAACAAATGCTCATTAGTGACTGACTTCAAGAAGTATATCCTGTAGTTCTAGTAGGAAGCAGTGATCAGTGGAGTTCAACTGAGTCAGTTGTGAGATAGTAACTAATTGATGACAATGGTAGATGTGTCACTGAATTTGGTGGATTAGTTGAAGTTAAACATTAACACCGTTTGATATCGACCAGTCGGCCGGCTCAGTGTTCTAGAGATTAAGTGTTCATACTCAAGACTGATAGAACCTTTGTTCGAATCTTTTGAAGCGGAATTATGTATACGCACTGTTGAGGAGTCCTAAAACAGGACAAAACCACCGTCCAGTGCTTCCAGATTTTCCATAGTAATCTAGTTTCAATTGACCCATAATCTCATCTATTAATATTTCTTCATTGTTGAATGATTTGACTTGTAAAGTTTTTTGTTTGTTGTGTACTGAAATGAAAACGAACACAACATTAACTAGGATATTAATTGAATTTTTGACCCCCGCCCCCCCTTTTTTATAGTTTTTTACTATTTTTTTTATGTACAAAGTACAAATCAAAAAATAAAAAAAACTATCGAAAATAAAAAAAATAAAAAAAGAATGTAACACTCCTAAATGAAATAAGTTTCCAATGTACTTTACATGATTTGCATAGATATTTTGGTATTTGTTAAAACTACACTGTTAATCTCATTACATAATCAGTTCCGTTTTTTTAATAGTTTTTTTTGTTGTTAATAAGTTTATCATCTTTATAAGTGTAAATATAATAAACTTGAAACAAAATATTGTTGATTAGTTATGTCCATAATGTATAACATGAAATTCAATCATTTCCACTAATCATAGTTACTAATATTTTAATAATAATATGCTCGTTAGTAACTAATTTTTAATGATAATTTCTAGAGTATTTAGTGATCTAGGATCTGATGTCAGTTAAATTGTATGTATGATTATTATTGGCCCTCAAATGACCTGATACCACCGAGAGTGGAGAGAGTCAGTTCTCCCTCACACTAGAAATACTCTTAAGTGACCACGTGCATACAACCACTACCACGGAAGTCCTACTCACTGCTTTCTCGAGGGTTGTTTTTTTACGAAATTCAAAGGACGAAAAGCGAATATCCGGCGCTTTAACGTGGTTGGTGGATATGCAGAGTTCATCTATGGAAGTTGGCAAACCCTCATTCGCAACCGATGGTGTACATGAGCTTATGGACCAATTGTTGATCACTGGTTAACATGGGACTGCATCCCCTAACGTTGTTCCACTGCATTGTGGATTAAACCTTTTGGTCGAAGGCTCCAGGTGTAGCCTGCTTAGAAAACCACCTACTTCGGTTTCGGTACCTGGAAAGCATCCCAGCCCTCACATTAATTGAATGATTTATATGGTGTATATCTGTTTGGTGCCTCCTATTGAAATATACATACCGTCAATTCTCGTATATAATCATCACGTTAGTAAATAAAGGAATTAAAATAAGTCAAATACGAGAATGAAGTATTGAATACATATATTCTATACACTTACTGATCTGGATAGTAAATGAGAGTAATGAAGTGAATAGATGACAGTGAAGCGAAATGATGCGTGGTGGAGAAGGCATGTAAGCCACCTCCATTTAATCAAGCGTTAATTGATATTTATAGGCAGAACTAAAATAAGCTACGGACATGTGGTGAATAGGATTAGAAGTGCACACACATACGCTCATATAAAAACAGTCAAGGTTGATAGGTCAATAATTAAAAAGGTCAAAATGTAGCTCAAGGATAATGGATAAAATGGCCTGTCCAGAAACTAGAATAAGTTATATGGGCTTAATATAGTAACCGACACTACAAATTATTATGCAAATTCGAGGTAATTATAGACCAATAACAATGGAAGATGGATGGACAACATCATGAAATGGTTAGATTTAAAAATTTTAAATATTGAATACCGTCTTTATGGTCTAGAGATTAACACTTTCAGAGCTAGGGATGAAAGTCTTAGGCCCGATTCCTTATGTGAACGTGAATGCTCATTACTGAGTATTAACATACTTTAATAAAATAATTTCAAAAATTGAAATCATGAGTCAATTGAAGCTAGACCACCATGGAAAACCTGGGAGCACTAGACGGCCGCCTCGTCCTAGTATGAGACTCCTCAGCATCCATGACCCCGCACCCCTCGGGACTCGAGCCCGGCACCCAATGGTTTCGCGCGCTAGCACTTAACAATTAGACTAATGAGCCGTCCAGTGTTTCCAGGTTTTCCATGGTGGTCTAGCTTCAACTGACTCATGATTTCAATCTGTGAAATTTCTAAAATCTCCACAAACTCCTTCTGATAATAATCATCTGCACATCAGTGACTGACTTCAAGAGATACTGCTGGAGTTCTAGTGGGAAGTCGTTACCAGTAGAGTTCAACCAGGTCTGTTGTGAGATATCAGCTCACTGAAGACAATGGTGTACGGTGGCGCAACTTCGTGGATTGGTTGAAGTTAGACATTAACACCATTAATGTGGCATTAAACGATGATGATGATGATGATTCATTGACAACTTCTTAATGTAATGAAATGACAACAAGCGAATATTGAATGAGTCACAATTCATTCAATTATTTAATTGTTTAATATAATTTCAAATGCGTGGGAAAAATGATTTAAATGAATGATTTTGGTAATAAAATGGTACTTGTAGACATAGTTACAATATATTTATGTGCAAAAAAGAACTTTTTTTTAAAACTTTCTTATCATCATCCTAATCACTACCGTATCACATGTGCCTTCATTGATTTTTATTATTTGGATACAGTAAACAGTGTATGAACTTTCTCATTTAATTGATTTTGTTACAATTCATTGAAAATTTAATGCTACGGGAGTTCAATTTTATGTTCTTGTGTGTGTGTAGACGTTCAGAAGATGATTGTGCAAACCTACCATGTATACACAATGGTTAGACTATAATAATTCCTTTGGTTGGATTGAAGAGCCTTATGAAATCATATTATATTATGAGTTTATCATAAAATAATTTTTAATAGTAGGCAGTAGTTTTATGCGTGATGCACGCTTATGAGACTATGGCTATCTTATAAATTCGACTTCTGGGTGGACAGAGCCATGTTGGTATGTGTAGAACACATGGTTGGAATCCGTGAGACGGTAGCAACCGATGGTTAGAGACCTTGAATGACATTGGCTCAAAATCCTTTGCAACAGCGCAGGTGCATTCACTCTTTGTATTCCCCCAAATTCTAATGTTCTGAATTCTTCATGTCCCTCATTTTTTTTCTCTTTCCAAATTTATTTCACTGGATTATACTCCTGAAATAACATCTTCAAACCCTAATCTTTCCGATTACTTCTTATACTTTTACTACGTCTACCACTATGGGATTTGAATTGACAATTGTATCTGTGTGTTAATGTGGAATGGCTACTCAAACTGATGTACGTACGTACGAAGTTCTACATTGTTGTTGACTGACTGAAGATCCACTTTTCGC